GCCGCTGTCCCAGAACTCAGCCATCTCGTGTTTGTAGAAATCCGACCGCTAGAAGCTTTGGATCACTTCTTCTTCACTTCTACTCCCAGTGGTTGCCCCCGATTAGGAATGGCAACGGGGCGGGACGGGGTCGGGGATCACCCTCCCCGTCCCCGATCCCCGATGGTAGAAATTCCCCCGTCCCCGTCCCCGTCCCCGTCCCCGTCCCCCTCGTCCCCGTCCCCTAACGGGGATCGGGTTTCCCCGACCCTGAAAACTCCCCGAGCTTCAACACCAGAACAACAAATCAGATCTAAATTTAAATTTACAGATTTAAATTTTAAAAAAAAATTACAGATCTAAATTTACAGAGAGAACAACGAGAGAGAGATCTAAATTTACAAATCTAAATTTATAAAAAAAATTACAGATCTAAATAATAATCACAGATCTAAATGAACAACGAGACCCAGATCTAAATTACAGATCTAAATAATAATAATCACAGATCTATATATATATGAATAAGAATCATACTCTGTTCGTTTCTTCCTCAGAATCCGAAATTGCTCAGGCGAAATAGATGCCCTCCACTCTTCGTCTGATTTCTGCACAAACCCAGAAGCAGCCATGGCTATAACTCCGCCTCTGAATCTTCTCTCGCTCTGACAAAACAACAAGCCAAACCCAGACTGAGAAATTAGGGTATTGATGAATATGGGCTTCGATGAAAACTGCCTGAGTTGGGTGTTGCAGAGCCTAGTGGGAGTATTTGACTTTGGTAGAAATCGGGAAAAGAGTGATCAAATATGTTTATTTAAATATTAGAGTTGAACACAGATTTGGGGGAAAAGAGTGATCAAATATGTTTATTTAAATATTAGAGTTGAACACAGATTTGGTTTATTTAAATATACGGTTTGGTTTTGTTTTTTTTATTATATATAATATAAGGGGTATAAAGGTAATTTCACTTCGGGAAAATTCGGGAATGGGGCCGGGGCCGGGGATCGGGCCGGGGCGGGGCTTAAACACTGATCACCGTCCCCGACCCGAAACAGATCTGGGATTGATTTTCAGATACCGTCTTCTCCCCATCGGGGGTATTTTTCGGGAAAAAACCGCTTAAATCGGGGTCGGGATCAGGGATCCCCGTCGGGCCATTTTCAAATTGCCATCCCTACCCCCGATGGGCCAACCCCCCCAGACCTCTCTCTCGCCAAGTTGTTGGCGATTTCGGCATCGACAGCTACCTGAACGTCAGCAGACCCCTTAAACTGTTGTACTACTGCGACGCATAAGTGGGGGTATGCTGCCCTTTCAGAGGCTGCCTTGGTCCTTTCTTCCTCCAACTCCTTCTCTAACCCCGCCTTCTCTGCCGCTGCCCTGGCGCGCTCATCTGCCAGATCCTTCTCCAACCCCGCGATCTTCAGATCTGCTTCTTTTTTTTCTTTGATCGATTGGGCGCGCAGATCCTCGTTACAAGTCATTGCCTCATCTCACTGTTTGTTGGCGACGGTACAGGCTTTCTGGGCCTCTTCCAGCTTCTTTTGCTCGCCAACCAGCTGGAACTCGAGCGACACCACCTTGCGGCGTTCGTCCTCCAGCTCCAACTTGGCCGCGAGCAGCTCAGCATGGGCACGATCGGCAACATTGCTCTACACCATTGCCAACACCCCCATATTGTTCGCCTTCTGAGCCTCCTCCAACCCCCTGGCACACGCACTCCGCGCAGCCTTCCTCCAGTCTATGCTCTCATTCTTGAAATTTTCAAGCTGGGCCTCCACCTGCCCCAACTTTTCCCTCTCCTTCCTCAATTTGCCCTTCGCCGCCGCCGCCGCCACCGTCACCGTTGTCGCCGTTGTCGCCGTCGCCGCCTTGTTCAACAAGGCTCCTACCAAGGCAGTCGCCTCTATCTGGGCAGAGCATAACTCCTTTAACAGCTTAGCCTCAGTAAAACCAATCACCAAGCGCACGGTGGCGTCTTTCACTACCCCCAAGAGGCGATCTGCAGCCATCCTGGCTTCTCTCCCTTCTCCTTCCACTCGCCTGGACACTGCTGGGACATGGTAGAAGGCGGTCTTTAACCCAGCCCTCTCTCATTCTCCTTGGGGCGCAAGACCCTCTTTAGGCTATGGCTCTACCCTCTGCTTAGCGTAGATCGCCCCACTTTCCATTTGTTCTTCAGGGACAGTCGCCACACTCTCCACCCCCTTTGTTGCTTCCCCCAACCCCACTTCGGGGGTCTCCTCCGCCGTTATCTCCTTCCTCATCTTCAAGGCGAGCTCCTCCTCACTCTCTTCTTTTTCTTCAAAGTCTCCATCTCCTTTTTGTTCCTCTCCTTCAGAGGATCCACTGGGGGCGGTCGCAGCTCAAAGCCTTCCAGATCCTTCCCCCCAGCGACTTCGGATGCGGTCGGATCTCTCTTGCGATCAGCTTTGGAGCGGGCCCCAACTGTGTCTCCTTGTACTGGTCTGCTCGAGCGAATAGTCTCCTCTCCGCCTTCTCCTCTGTCTTCCTCTGCGCCTCCAACTCTTCCCTTGCGGGGTCCTCCCCCAACGGTTGCGGTCCAAATTTTAAGGCGAACAATGTTGAAGGTAGGACTAGCTCATCCCATCTCACCGTCTTCTCTTCTCTCCATTCCCTCACCTTCTTCACTCAGTCTTCGGCCTCAACACCCAACTTAGGCTCGACTGATTTGGTGGGGACCTTCCATGTTGTGTACACCCCAGCCCCACTGTTCTCCGTCACAAAGAACCATCTCGGTCTCCACCCCTTCATCAACGATGGAAGACCCGCCACTAGATCTCGCCCCGCCACCGCTTGCAGCGTCACCCAGGTCTCCTGCTGACCAGAGGCCTTGTAGCAGGAGAAGAACTCCTCTACTGTCATCGCCGTCCTTCCGGTCGCCTGCGGCCAGGCACTCGCGCACGCCATTACTATCTTCCAGGCGTTCGGCATCAGTTGCCCTGGCGCCACTTCTAGCTTGTTCAACACTTCCACCACTACTTGGGGGAGAGGTAGCCTCAAATCCCCTGGCAATGCCTCCTCGTACAGACTAAATTCGCCCGGCCGAACGTCTGATGCCCTTTCCTTGGTTGTGGGAAATCCTAGCCCTATCTCCGAGGAAATTTGATACTTCTTCCTTATCCCCTCCAACTTCTCTGCCGTCAGCACGGATCTGTCCAGTTTGGTGTGCCAATGGTCAGGTTCCACCTGACTAATAGGTCTCGTGGCCGAAATTATTGTCCTGGGGCGAGCCCGCACAGCCTGACTCGCTCCCTCTCCCTTCCTATGCTTCATGCAATATTGTTCCGCCAAATCCACCGCATCGTCATCCCCCAATGGATCAACCCTCGTGGTTGTTACTTCCTCTTGGGTCATCCCTCTTGTGTGTCTGCGAATAGCTTCAGATGCTGGTGCGAGATAGTCCACAAAATGTTGCAAAGGGGTATCACTCGATACAAAGGAGTTTACGCTTGGAATATTTTGGTTGTTTGCAAAGAGATATGTTAAACGGATAATACTAAAAGCCCAAGGCTTGACTATATTCCAAGGGTCACAATTAATTTTTGCTAGTTTGAAAATTTTCAACAATCCTCCGAAATTGTCTTTTCAACACCCTATAATGACCTATCGTTTCACTTCTTGCTCAATGCCTAACCTTCCCCACTAGATAATTCTGCCATGTGTACGACCACGATTCACTGCCCCCTTCCTCTACCCTGTCTTTTCCACTTCAAATCACCACGTGCCCCGCCGTCCCTCAAATCACCACGTGCCCTGCCATTCCTCGAGCCCCGCGCATCGCCGCTTGTCCCTTCGCTCGGCCACCCTTCGCGGTCGGCCCCCCTCATGGTCGGTCCCTCCGCTCAGCTACCCTTCGCGGTTGACCCCCCTCATGGTCGGTCCCTCCGCTAGGCCACTCTTCGCGGCCGGCCCCCTCTCATGGTCGGTCCCTCTGCTCGGCCACCCTTCGCGGTCGGCCTTCCTCACGGTCGGTCCCTCCACCTAACCACCCATCGCAGTCGGCCCTCCTTATGGTCAGTCACTCCTCTCGGTCGGGCTTCACCCTGCCGGTCTCTCACAACCCTCATTTTCTTCATTATTCCCTTCGTTGGGCTAAAGCTGTACTTGGGAATGAGGGACTACTGACATGAATAAGCCCATAAAGATCATAGCCCACCATTTAGGACCCAATACATAACTCAAATACTAAAGCCTAACATTGCTGAAGCCCCACGTAGCAATAAGAACCAATAACATCAAGACACATGGCAAGAGAAGGGCAAGCCACATAAGCAGACAAAGATCTGCAAAGTTATTACCACTGCATATCGCCATTAAGGAAGCCCCTTACAGCATTTATTGCGATAATCCCTCTTCGTCGGGACAGAATGCCTTCACCATGAACAAGGTAAGTTAGAGCATAGACTTTTGGCCAATGTGACAGGTCGGAAGGGACAACGAAATGATTACCAGAGGATATAAGCAGACGTCGAAGACAAGAAGAAGGTTAAACTTTCTATCTCTAATTCATCTCTACATTCTACTTCTCTCTCTAACTTGCTCGTTGGAGGGTTTGCTGGGGGACTCCCTGTTTCCCGTTGAACTCTTGTGCTGGTCTTTTAGTGGGCTTGGTCATTCGGACGCAACCTTGAGGAGCGTGGATCAGTCTGACCCGTTCCACCTGGAACAAACAATATCATCAACATCCAACTCCATAATCATTTCACTTTTTCTCTCACAAACATTATATCCAACCACAAAAAAACCCAACTATCTTCCCAAATACCAAAATTTTTTTATCCAATAATATTCTACAACTAAAAAAACCTACATAAAAACTCATTTCCCATCCTCAAAAATTGATGGCTAGAATAAGATTACTTAGAAAAAGTAGCTAGATCCTCTCTATACATATATACACAAACACACAACACAAATAAGCAATAGAAAGCTGTTTGGATATAATAAAAACATTATTAGACATAATCAAGAGCAACAGTACACATTAACAAATTACTCAAAAGTAATTATAAGTAATTAACTGTAACAAACTAATGAGGGCAATGTTATGGAACAAACACGATATTGACAAAAAAAAAAAGTTCAGACACATACCAAATGTAACTCCGACTGCCATTTGCATGGTTCCTACAATGCAACCATAAGTAATCATACTCATACATATAGTTCAAACATTAGCATGAAGAATCCCATCCCACAATGATGGTTTCAACCAATTCCAATTCACAGGCAACTGTAACCATAAGAGTAATTAATTAAATACTAGCATATATGAAACATTGGAACCATAAAAAAAAAAATAAACAAATAGCATGACAGAGCCAGCAAATTAAATCAAATAATGAAAACCCAAATCCACAGTAATAAATTAAATCTAAATCAAGCTCCGTCAATCAGAACAATAAGGTTTTTGCCATAGCCAATTTTTCTTGACTCAAGAAGCAAAGTTCAGATGAAAAGTAGTTTGCTTGTGTGGTGAGAGTACTAAACTTGATCTCATGCTAAGATTTAGGGATTAAAGTTTTTTTTTAGGGGAAAGTAAATCGTCCACCAACATACGCAATATACACAAGCATGTTCATTCAATTAATTCACAGAGTCTGATTTGAAACATTCATGATCAGATACATTATATGAAAAATTTGATAAATTCTCTCTTACCGCAATAAAAAAGGTTTTGTCCCCTAGCTCAGAGAAAAATATAAGCAAGAATGTTATTAATGTATACAAATGTTATACATGCAGTGAAATTCGAAAGAGAGAGAGAGAGAGAGAGTACCGATTAAAGTTCAGAACCAAAGTAGACTATTCGCGGCCATTGGGGCTTGAAATGCGAGTAATCGAGGGGTCAGAGTTCAGATCTGAGCTTCTGGAAGACGAGAAGAGAGTTTTAGAGAGAGAAAGTGTAGGTATATATATATATATATATAGAGAGAGAGAGACGGTGGAGCTCACCTTAGTGAAATGAAAATCGCAGGTGCAGATGGTGGTGGCGATGGAGCTTCGAAATTGAAATCGCGCTGAAATCACTGAATCTCTGAGTCTCTGCAAATAAGGATCAAGTAAGAATGCCTTCAAACATTGATTTCATAGATCTCTCTATTGATTTCATAGATCTAGAGAGAGAGAGAGACGGTGGAGCTCGCTACCTCGAAATTTGGAAAAATGGAGCTTAGTAGATCTAAATCGAGAGAGAAAGAGAGCAGATGGTGGGGCGATGGAGCTTCGAAATCGCTCTGAAGCTTCGAAATCGCGGGTGTAGATGGAGCTTCATCGAGCTTCGAGAGGGTTGAGAGAGAGAGAGAGAGAGAGAGAGTTGTAACATTCAGAGTTTCTCTCGCACAGAATCAAAATAAGGGTTTCAAAATGAGCACGGAAGAAGCGCGTGTACCCACCGCATTTGGAGGCGGTTTTAAACGCCTTCAATTATAAAACGGTGCCGTTTTGATTAAAAAATATGTGGCGGTTATAAAACGTCGTTAAAAATTAAAAAAAGTGACGTTTAAAAAAACACCGTTAAAAAAACGCCATTAAATCTCATTTTTCTTGTAGTGTTTACTGAATATATATGTATATGTATTAATCAAAATACTGTTTAGGAATTGTAATTTTTGAGCAGAGTACTCTTTAAGCCTCAAATTTATTTATATTTGTTTATTTGTTGAGCTACACTGTGGTCATTTAATGATTATATTAGTAAAAGCTTCTTAAAATGTTTGCTTACTTGTAACTTGCTAGCTAGAACCAGTCATAAACTGCAATTAACTAACAATTTTTAATCATCCACCATTTTCTTGCACACAAATTTGAATTTGCTTGTTAAAAAAAAAAAAATTGGTTTCAGTTTTTTAAATTCAGTTTTTGAAAATTGAGTTTTTTTTTGTGTTTTTTTTTTGTTTTTAGTGAATATTTTTAATATTTTAAGCATTTTTTTTTACTTTTTCAGATGCACTTTACTTCGATGTATCTAAAAAGTAAAATATAAATTAATAAATACACAAAAATATGAAAAATATACAAAATTTTTATTTTTATTTTTATTTTTTTGTATTTTTGGTATTTAGTGAATTTTTTAAAGATTTTTTTCACGAAAATTATAATTTTTAAGTGTATGCATGTTAGGTGTGTCTAAAAATTTTAAAAATTGTTTAAAATATTAAAAACATTTAGTAAAAATAAAAAAATACAGAAAATAAGAAATTAGATTTTTTAAAAAAGTATTTTCAAAAAATTGGAAACGAACATGGTGATGATTCTTGAAAAAATTTCTTTTGAGATTTGTAACCATTTACCAACACTTGGTGGTTGGGATTGTAGAAGGCAAGAATGTAGTTCTTGACGTACTAATAAAAAAATGCAACAAAGGGTAAACGAAACCTTAAATGAAAGGACACAAAAAACTAAATATTTATTATTATTATTATTATTATTGTGAAAATTAAGATAATTAGGAACATGGATTAATTAACATGGGATACAGAAGGGTGTGGGCAATTGAGCACACATTGTTCATAGGTGCTCTGACAATTGGGAGGAAGTTTTGTTAAACAACACCAACATCGACCTTCAAAACAAGATCTTTCCGGACACAAGGGGATGTTTATTTTCTTGCCTAATTCTCCATTTCCATCTCCATCTTCGCTGCTACCATTCTCATTTCCTGCATTCACTGTAAAACATGCATATTAATAATAAGGATTTAGCATCGCATATGCGTTAATTGCATCTTTTCTTTTGTTGGTTTGTTTTTGTCTTTATATTCGTTAAGTTTTTATTTTGAATTTAATCACTCCGTTAGACTTAGTTGTGGAGGAAATATCATTTTGCTTCTTAAATTTTTACGCGTTATTCAATTTGTTCTCCAGACTTCGTATAAGATCAATTTGCTCCCTTTAAATTTTTAGAATTTTGATCAATTTGACTCCTGACGTCACATTCCGTCTACAATTAAACGGAACTTATTGACGTGACACCAAATTTCATTTTACCCCCAAAATTATACCTTAAAATTAAATTAGCCCCCCAAATATTCAAAAATATATATTTAATATTTAATTAATAATTTTTTATTTCAAAAAAAAATTAAATTTTAAGTAAAAAATTTGAGTATTCTTTAGATAGTAATTGAATTTTAATTTTTTTTTCCTACTAAATGTTGAAATTACTATTAGTCAATCAATTCAATTGAAATTAGTTTGAAGAATGAACTAGTTACAATTGCGCGAGCACACACACATAGTATACAATAAATTTTTGGCTCAATAAGTTTCTCCGGAATTGACTCAAGATAATTTGAGACTTATGAAGTACAGCTACGGGTATGGGTATTGGTATGATACGGATACATCAATACGGTAAAATTCAAAAAAAATAAGGTACGAGGACAGTTTGATACGCTTGTAAAAAAATATTTATTTTTAATTTGGAGTAATACAAAAATTGATTAAATAGTTTAATTTTTTAAGATCCAATTAATAATGCCAAAAATATAGGTATACGACAAATCAAAATTAAATATTATTATATTAAACAACTTACAAAACATAATTTAATTTTAAAATCATACAAAGCATAAAACTAAAAATGAAAAAGAAATATAATAAAAAGAATTTTATCTTTGTAGTAGAAAAAAATATTATTTCGATTGAGGTACTGTACAGCTTGAGTATATACTAGGTATGTTTGAGTACGTCAAAAATTAAGAAGAGAAAATATATGTACGTGTTTTGTGTGTCTGGTATGTATGCAAAAATACCATACAACGGTTAATATCCAGTACGAGTATAACATGTTTGTTGAAGTACCCATGCTTAATAGTCTCAAGATAATTCAAAATGAGCAAATTTATATTTTTTTATTTTTTTTTTGCAAAATATATATTATTTAAAATTTATTTTTTTCATTATTGAAATAAAAAATTATTTATCTATAATCAATATCAATCAATTATAGTTACCCATTAAAGAAAAGAAAAAAAATCTTAATTTGATATGTGCCTCCCTGTGAAGGCCCAAAATTTTTACTAAATATCTCAACATGGGTGTGGGTACACTCATGTGAAATATTTGATAGAAATTTTAGTATTCCTATCCTTACTCAAATGTTACTCACTTCAAAATTTTTACCAAATAATTACATAAGTATGGGTCTCACTCACACTCATTTGAGTATTTGGTCAATTTTTTTAAAGTATTTTTTATATCCCTACCATTGTTCTAATTTGATAGATGCCTTTTTGGACAATTACAATTTAATTGTACGAGATTACAACTGTTTAATTAAAAAGAGTAATGCTAGAGACCCTAAATATTTTATCAAAAGTTTTATCAAATGTCTCACATGGGTGTGGGACCCATACAATGTGGGTCCCATGTGGGTCCCACACCCATGCGAGACATTTGGTAAAACTTTTGGTAAAATTTTTAGGGTCTCTAACATTTTTAAATTAAAAATCTAAGAGATTACTATAATTAATATCAATTGACCATATTACGAAAGCTTCTTTAATTGTCAACAACAATTCTTACCTACCATTTCCTATACGTAACTTACATTTTGTTTTTAAGTTGACCCCAAAATTAGATTTTTTTAATTTTTTTTTTCCTGCTTTTTCTATAATACATAAACACTAGCACTAGGAGTGTAAAAGCAACCAACGAAACCAAGTTGAGCCTGAAAATTTTGATTTTGGGTTTATTTTAACGTATAGTCTATTTTAGTATTAGAAAATTTTACATCAATGTAAACTGAATCAAGCAAAATATAATTTGAAGAAAAGTGACCAATATAATATACATTTTGTGAGAAAAAACTAAAGAGGACAACATATATAAAACAACTTTGATAATTTTTCTTCATTTATTTTCAATATGAAATTCTATAATTTTTTTATAAAATTCTTTAAAACTCATGCAAATCTCTTCTTTATACCAAAATATTAGAATTGATAAAATTGAACCATAACATACGGTTTATATTGGTTCCTCAACCATCAAATCTGAAAAGTTTGGCTCAGTGCTAAATTCCTTCTCAACACCAACCGAATTGAACCATTTATGCTCTTAACTAACACTCCAATAATTGTATTTATCTAATTCATCATTTAAAAAAAGAAAAAAAGAGACAACAAGTTTTATATGAGAATTTATTACAAAATAGGGCCAAGTTGGGTAATGGGCCGTTGTGGGCCACAGTAAGAAGGGCGGAGTAAAAAGGGCCTTGGCGTTAGCCCGGTCCCCAAAAAGGCCTTGTTGTTAGCCCGGTCCAAGAGAGTGTTACAGATAACCCGGTCACCACACTCAGAGTTAGCCCGGTTGTGGCATGTTGCGGTTAGCTCGGTTAGAACCTTGCTATTTCTTAGCTCGGTCTAAACACATCATGGTTTGTATAGAAGAAACCAAGGTACACGCAGTAAAAGGAAGAACCGAGCTAGGTAGAGTTCAGTCTACTCTGCGGCTTAGCATAGCCATGCTTACCTCGGTTATATAGGGATCCGACCATAGTAAAACCATCTCACTTGGTTTAAGCAGTGAGGGGGGTGTTGAAGGATAAGCATTATCTTTCAGGAATATGATTCCTAGGAGGACTTTACATGGATGAGTAAGAGTCCTACTAGGATTGTGCCACGCGGAACCTATAAAATCTCATAACATCACCTATGGAGAGGTAACACAACTTTGATTCCCGTATATACAGAGCTTTTTGTCTATTTGTCAATTTTGCTGACTTAGGCATCGGAGAGGTATCCGGCACACACCCGCCGGCTAGTTCACGTTTGTGTTTTCAGGGAGTAAAGCAACGTCATACGGAGGAGCGCGAACTTGATCAACAGGATTATACGATAAGGTTTATTTCTTTCTCGTACAATTGACGCCGTCTGTGGGAAGATCAGACATGGAACAAAACCTCTTGATCAAGCCTCCCTCGCTAATTGAATGGCGCACAACAAATATTTGCCGCAGTACGCCATCGACGGACAAACCCCAGAGGGGGGTGGGAGGCGCGAAGGGTTACCCTATATCCCTCCCATGGCGAACTTAGAGCCCCAGCGACAAAATCCCCGGAGGAATACAAGGGAGAGGCGGAACAACAGCCCCCGTCGCGCTCGCTCACAAAGTCCTGAAAGGCAAAGGTGAAGAATCGACCCTCAAGCTCTGGAGGATCGCATAAAAGAGCAAGATGAACTAATAAGGAAGATGGCAACGGACATGGAGGCCATGAAGCGCCAGATCAAGGGAAAAGGGGTGGCGACAGGAGAGGGGCGCAAAGGCAATACGCCTCCTCGCCATTCAGAAGATCGTGGTAGGCATATCACGCCATCGCAAGCAGAGAGTAGAAGCCTCAGGACAGGCGACACTCAGTCAAGAACTTCCAGAACTCGTTCCTCCAGGTCTGGGAGAACGAGATCATTGAGGTCTTACACTCAGGGAAGTACCTATCGGCCTTCATATACGCATCATACATCATCCAGGCAAACGAAGTTTCCTAGATCGTCGAATTTACGGATAGTGCTTGAAGAAAGGGCACGACAGAAGGAGGATG